AGTCTGACACATCTGTTTCATATTTGGACATTTTTTCTTGATAGACATTCATGGAAATCTAACAACAAAGCTTTTTGATAAACGTGATGACTTTTAACTTTTCAATCATCAACTTCCCTTTCGTATGCAGCAATATCACGTGCATACAGGTTTGAGGAAGCTTTCAGACTCATAATGCGTGGTTTGCGACGATGATTTATGTTCTACCTAGCCTCTTTCTTACCGTTTCACAAAAATATGACTTTAAACAGCAATTAAAATTTTCAAATTCGAAGTTGAAAAGCCATCATAAAAGATGTTATTACTTACTGTTATTTAGTTGGAATTATTGATTATGAAACGGGAAGAGACAAGAATAAAGTTTGGAAAAATTAATATGCTTCCATAGTCAGATTATATCTTTCATGAAGTAAATCAAAATAATCTGAGGTTCCAATCTATAGTCTTAAAGCAGAATTACATTATTTTTTTCGGATAAATGAATCATTTTCTGCAAAACTCCTGTTTGTATTTATGGAAATTAAGAGAATTTTTATTAGCTCAGTTTTTAGCTTATAGTTTTTTTTAGGATATGAAATATAAGAGGAAATTATAACACTGTTGATTTGCAGTAAACTAGAGACATACACTAAACCCTGTGGTTTCTGTAAAGTTACATCTTCGCTAGCCAAGGGTTCTGATACGCTTCTCTCCTCATTAGCATACGGTGAAGTCAAAAGTCAGGTACGCACAGATTGTTTCATCGACAGAAATAAAGACATGTGTTTAAAAAAATTAAGTCTAGGTTTTTTTTTCTCAAGAATAATTAAGAAGAATAATCAAGTTATGTTTATTTATTATTTATAGTACAAATCTGAATCTTCAATATAGATTCTTAATCACATATTTAGAAGATATTGGATGACACCATAGCTATTCATAGAATTACACGTTTTCTTACGGATCGTTTTTTACTTGCGCTTTTCATTTTCGAGATTGAAGAGTAAAGAAGTATCCTTACAAAAAACAATTGCTGATTGGTTGACCGGGTGTACTGAGAAAAAAACCCAACTTCTATCAACACCGCATGCCAAGGGATTATGAGGAGATTAGCGTATCAGAAAGTTCAAACCCTTGGCTAGCGAAGATGGCAAAGTCACAACTGATAATGTTGAGACACTTCAGATGAATTTTATATGACCTGTCATGTGCCACAAAAACGGATTTTTATGAAGTATAGGCAATCCAGTTGCACCATATTGTAACACAACAACATATTATTGGTTTGAAATGTTATAATCGTGCTACATTATTGAATTTTATAACCATTCAGAACAAAAGGGATTGTCCAAGTGATACTTAGACATCAAAAATTAAGAAAAAATCTTTTAAAATATTTTTATAACCTTTTTTAAAAATGAATCTGTGCAGATAAAAATCCGAATTACCTTTCAAATAGTCTAAATTTAAGATTAACATAATCCCTAAATTGTTTGAAATTATTAAGATTGATAAATTTGTGTCTAACTGAGGAAGGCTCTTTTTTCCTTAGATGGTAAAAATTTCAGTGAACTTGTTCATCAAACTTATAAATCAGTAAGAAATGTAATAAAAAAATCTGTCATCAAATTATAGAAATTGGTGATTTTTTTTTTTAAATTCTTATTTCTCACAATGAGGCACGTGCTGTTACTCCTGAGACTCTGGGTGATTTTTACAGACTTTGTTGCACGGGCTGGAATGACAATTCAATTAATACATAGTGTCGAAATAAATATATTTATATTAGTGTCATTTGCAGCTGTGGCATATTCAAAACAAGTATAACAATTTTTTCATTTCATTTTTACCACTGTAATTAATGATGTATCTATTAATGAACTATCAATTTGATTTGCGTTTATAATCTTACATAGCTGCAATAATGTAGCCCTCTCCTTTTTTTTTGGGGGGGGGGGAGAGGGCTACAACTCCTTAGGATCTCCGTAATGGTGCAGAGCGGGAGCGATTCGCTCCCGCACGGATTTCGGCTTAAATTGTTAGTAAACGGCTATTTTATTTATGTGTCTTACCTGGACTTCCAAAATGTAGTTATCCCAGACATAAATCGATCCAAAAATATACAGAATAATCCATATATCAGTATTTTTCGTGTATGTCAACATCACACCTTAAATTTATCCGCCATGTTTACTGACCTTGACAGATTTTATTTCGGGACAGCCAATGAGATTAAGGATCTATAGGGAGCGGATTTCTTTGGAATTACCTTATTTTAAGCTCAAATGTCGGTGTTTACAAAAAAAAAATGAAACATGGAATGATTTTATTTTATCGATGTTTAGTGTTACTATTCATCACAATTATTTATAAACATCGACATTTGCTTTATTGAGTTGTTCTAAATTTCAAGCGCAAGTCTCACTACGTCACGTGTGAACTGTCATGGCTGCTGAAGTAAATGCACAGATTTATTTTACATGGTTTTCGCGTTTAGCGAGCTTTGATGTCGACAGTGAATAAAAATTTCGTCTTATCAGAAGTAAGTTGATTGTGAAAACAATTCATTCTGCCTGCAGTCGCCAGTATTTACAAAATATTTTTGCACCATTACGGAGATGCTGTGGAATTGTAGCCCTCTCCAGAAAATAACAGATAAAAAAATCGGAGAGGGCTACATTATTGCAGCTAATTCTTACATATTGTCGTGTTTGGGAGTATCTATTGTAAATCATACTCATTTACTTTTATTCAATATTATTTTTATAAGAAAATACCCCTAAATTACTTTTCATTAAGGAGAACTATATTATATAATATAAGTAAATATGCGATGCTTAAGGACAGATGATACAAACAGATTTTTTCTTTAAAAAAGATTTAATATCATGTCACAAGTTTAGAAAAGTGGATAATTCTTAGAATATTTTCTCCTAAGAACTGGAAAATGATATAGAAAAGGAAAATATTAGTAATATTTCAATGAAAAAACAAATTTAGACAAATCACATTTAGTAAAGGTTTACAGGTAAAAACAAATTTCAGAATATGTTACTTTGGTGCTTAAAGTGTAATAAAAACTTTTAAAAAATATACCAAGCCAGGTGAATTTTAAGAGGAGGAACAAAATGACAAAAAATTAGCAATATCACATAGGCTGATTTTACAATTTAGCTTTTACTAATTAAAATCACCAGGCTTGGTATATTTTTCTTAAGTTTATATTACACTTTAAGCACCAAGATAACATTCTGAAATTTGTTTACACCTGTAAACCTTTACTGAATGTAATTTGTCTATATACCTTTTTTCATTGAAATATTACTAATATTTTCAAAGTGTTTTTCATATTCCAGTTCTTAGGAGAACAAAATCTAGGAATCATCCACTTTTCTACACTTGTGACATGATATTAAATCTTTTCCAAAGAAAAAAATTGTTTGTATCATCTGTCCTTAAATGATATACATAATTTTATACTTTTCTAAAAGAAAATAAATAAACTAAAGGTAATATGAGTACTGAGCTAACTAAAGGACACAACCCGCCTCCCATATGATTAATATGGCAAACTTCATGCTTTGCTCTAAGAGACTCGAAATAAGTATCGTATCAAAAAGTAAGATATTAGGTGAACAATGGCATTATGCAATAAATAATCTATAAAAGTATCATTCAACTTTATTCTGTGATATAAGAGGAGTTGCCGATAGATTGATAGAAGATGCGTACCCTTAAACACATGTATTATAGGAAAAATGGCAGTGTCAATGTTTTGCTATGGAAATTTAAGAAGGATACTTTCACAATTCTAGAATGCCATTGTGCCCCTCCTATTTTACTTTATGATGTCACACTTTTCCTTATTTTATCTTTTTTTTTTTTTTTTTTTTGGTTTTCTATATCCTAACATTACTAACATTGACACTGCATGCCATATTTTTTTTTAAATATTGAAGAGTACCCATTTCTTCTTTGCGTCACTTTTATCATCATTACCTGTTAAGTCCACCTGAATATTAAAACAAAACTACGAAAAAAAATATTAAAACTATAAAATGCTTTCTTTGGTTGATGGTAAGAGTATAAATGTCGACCTGTTGCAGAAAAAAAAGCAAAACCCACGTAATTTTGTTCTGTATTAGCAGCGACGTGTATTCTCATACTAGCAAACAAAGAAAGACAAATTTTGTTTATATTTACATTTGTATAGACAAAAAAAAAGACATTGTAAGTAAAACTAAATATGTTATTTATCGTATTGTTTAAAGATGTATATGTCCTTGTAACTAATGACATTCAAAAATCTAAGCAGGCTGCTTGCTTAGTTGCGTTAATGGACTAAATAACGGCGATGGTCTTCATAAGAAATTAAAATGAATAATTTTCAGTGAATTTAAATTCATAAAATATTAAAATTCGTATAAATCTTTTTTTCAATTGACCTATCAATTGTGGAATTTATCTACAGTGAAGAATTATACAAATTCACTTCATGTACATAATCAAGAAAGTACCGCGCTCACAAAAACGCTACAAAAAGCTCCCGATCTTCGGGCCCGACTTTGCAGCCAAAAAGTAGTTATCAAGTGCCAGAGAAAAAGATTTTCAATGAATCAGTAAATTAGTTCCTTTACACCAAAACCCCTGGTCTATGGCCCATTTTTGAATTTTGGAGAGGCATCTCCATTTTGGAGTTTTAATAGAACCTTTTTTTCTTAAATTTGAGATACATGTATCTGTTGGCATCTTTCATTAACTAGATCTTTACGTTAAGTGTGACGAATTACGAGAATGTTACTAATATGTGAAACTTATTGCTGCAATTGAGTGGTTTGACATCTGTGACAAAAATTTAATCAACTCTGATTTTCAAGGGCTCTTTGTCAATAAATGCTGCTTTGTTTTGTGACAACTAGTGGTTTTTATTTGGTGCCATGTGCAAATAAAAATCATATTTCAGAATTCCTATGACTTGTTTAAAGGTATATAAACATGCTATATGCCCATTCACAAACAGTTGGAAGGACAGAATTTTTCAACAGGTTAAGTATATTTTGCACTCTTGACATATTTATTCAATAGAAAATAGTAAAAGCTTATTTTGATTCAATTTTTGATAATTATTCTTATCTTTTACATGTAGCACTCACTCTGAAAATGGACAAGAGGACCTCTATTTGTCTGTTATATATTGGTCTTTTGGTTCTTCCTGCCCCAATCCTTGCTGAAGTCAAGACTGAGAAAGAACGACAAAGACGTCAAGCTATAGCTTTACCATTGGCCTCTCTTGCTGGAACAGCAGTAGCTGGCCCGGTGTTTGCCGCCCTTCTCGCTATTTATGGTGCCTATACATTAGCAAAATATCATATCTCAGGTAATTTTCTTCATTTAATTATAAAAATATCAGTGAGAATTTTAAATGGTATGATAAAACAGTGTTATAGTTATGAACTTAACAAAATTATAGTCATTTAGTTTATCAATTAAGAAAATGCCATAGTTTTTGGCGAGCAGAATTAGGTATGAAGACCAAGTGAGATCATACAAGAATGACATTTGGAATTATAAAACAAAATTTTCATTATTTGTTGCATTTGAATTTTACATAACTTGCTACTTTTAAATTTTTCTGCTTAATGAAAAAAATAATAAAATTCTTATTTTGAGTAAGTTTCTTCCTTGTTTTGGGTCTTATAGCGATATTTGTTTTTGAGTCGAAGTAGAATTTTAAAAGACTTCTAAATTTGCTACAATATTACCTTGTAGATAAAGACAGCCATGAATGTGGTAGAGGTTACTGCAGAAAAGTGTGTTTTGAAAAAGAGAAGATAGACTGGGGGCTGACATATGGCTGTGGAAACAATTATTGTTGTGTGTATAGTTAGAAGATCAGAATTCTGCTGATTGGTCATTGCCGGCCAACTTAACTATCCAATAAACACGAATAAATTGAAACATCCTGTTTTCGTATAAAATATCAGAAATTTCAGACAATGCAGGGGCGTAGCAACAGGGGGGGGGGTCAGGGGGGGTGTCCCCCCCCACTTTTTTTCCCAATCCTACTTTTACTATAGGAAATGTTAATTGAAAACCTGGTTGGCCCCCTCACTTTTAGACTTATAGCAAAGTAAATCGAAAGTAGTTGACACTGAGAAAAAATTTTCCTACCCCTCTCCCCGAAATAGGATTTTCGACTTCGGGCAAACTTTTCCTTTTTTTTTTTGTTTTGCTTGTCAACTTTTCAGGTAAGTAAAAAAAAACATTTTTCTATGGCTGCCCCCCCCCCCCCCCCCCACTTTCCAAAACGATGCTACGCCACTGCAATGGCAGTACTTGATTTAAATACAATTAATTAATATGGCAAGTTTCAATTTCAAATATTATCTTCTGTACCATAATCAGAAGATTTCCATTTCGAATCATATCTGTCTGAAACGAGGAGGCTCTCAACTCTTAATGATATAACTTGAGAAAAATTGCACCCTGATCAAGTCTCACTTACATTTCTTTTCTTTTAAGAATAAATTAATATTCATAAGTGGTCAGAGTTGGCAATATTAATTCTGTTTAAGTATACTGTTCTTTGAATTCACACCAGAAAGAGAAGATACCATTGAAATTAATTTATACCATATTTATATAAAATCGTTTCACTTGTTCTAAATAATTAACTCTGGCTCTCCATGGGGATTCACATTTATATATATATATATATATATATATATATATATATATATATATATATATATATATATATATATATATATATATATATATATATATATATATATATATATATAAATGTGAATCCTCATGGAGAGCAAGAGTTAATTATTTAGTATTTAATGAAACGATTTCATATAAATATTTTATAAATTAATTTCAATGGTATATATATATATATATATATATATATATATATATATATATATATATATATATATATATATATATATATATATATATATATATATACCATTGAAATTAATTTATAAAATATTTATATGAAATCGTTTCATTAAATACTAAATAATTAACTCTTGCTCTCCATGAGGATTCACATTTATATATATATATATATATATATATATATATATATATATATATATATATATATATATATATATATATATATATATATATATATATATATATATATATATATATATATATATATATATATATATATATATATATATATATATATATATATATATATATATATATATATATATATATATATATATATATATATATATATATATATATATATATATATATATATATATATATATATATATTATATATATATATATATATATATATATATATATATATATATATATATATATATATATATATATATATATATATATATATATATATATATATATATATATATATATATATATATATATATATATATATATATATATATATATATATATATATATATATATATATATATATATATATATATATATATATATATATATATATATATATATATATATATATATATATATATATATATATATATATATATATATATATATATATATATATATATATATATATATATATATATATATATATATATATATATATATATATATATATATATATATATATATATACTTTCAAAACAAAATGAAGTTACAGTTTTTGGTATATTTGGATTTTTACTTTTAAATATATATATATATATATATATATATATATATATATATATATATATATATATATATATATATATATATATATATATATATATATATATATATATATATATATATATATATATAATGTATGTAAATATGTATAATACTTTTTCACATCTATTGGATAACAGATCAGTTTTTCATTAAATTACTCATTTTAGAATTTAAAATCAACTTTCTTTCTAATATGATAAACGTTTTTTTAGCGAACAATAACATTTTTAACAATTTAAATGTAGACCAACACTATTATATTCTTGAATCTGAGAACAGTAAACTCTGAAGAAAAAATCAGACCATATGTACTTTGAATGGCCTGCTCAAACTAACAAGCAGTACGAGGGGTGATCAAAAAGTTCGCAAACTAATTGAATAACTTCCATACAAGAAACAATATTTTTTTAATGTTGATTATATTTTAAATTAATCCTCCCCGATTTTCATGCACATCAACCACCGTTCTGCGCATGCGCGAATCACGTGATATTGGCGGTCACGTGATCCCCTCCGTAGCGTTCTGCCACAAAAGTTTAAAGATTTTTCCGAGTTTTATAAGAACAGTTAATTTGTCAGAAATGGTCATATCTCGGCAACAGAATGGGTTGATAATAACATCCTTTCCAAAAATAAGCATGGCGACCATTAAAACACAAATCTTCTGTCTCAGGAGAGACCTTTATTTAAGGTGGATAGAGAATGGGTGCATCCTTTTTATCATATCTAGTATGTTTAAAATCTAAAGTAAACGATATCTTACGTATTTAATACTTATATCATTGTTCAAATATTCAACTATTTTTCAAAGTGCTAATTGGAGGTCTTTGATAGCAAATTGCTTAATTAAAAATACATATCTTTTCAAACTTGCTTTCACTGGGCAAGATGACAAGTATCATTTTTAACAATCAGCCTTCCTTCACTAAAACGATTAATCCAATCATTAATTGGATTTATAGGAACTCATTTATCTCAATAAACTGTGTACAAATTATTATATGATACTGTGGAGGGATTTCTAAGATATTACAATAAATTGTACAGTCGTTTGTTGAACGAGTTCGACTGAGACAACCATTTTTCGTCACAAGTGACCTAAATAGTGACGTCATTTTCACATTGTGACGTCACAAACAAGGAGAGAAACTTTATTCAGCATATGTTATTTATAGACCTTGTGTATGGCTATGTGTGTACCGAATTTCATTCTAATCTGAATTGTGGTTTTGTAGATATAGAGATAGTTTGCGAACTTTATGATCACCCCTCGTACAAGAAGGATATGGAAATAACGAACAGTATTCAATCTCAACGTCCATTAAACAATATACAAAATAAGAGCAGAGCAAACACGGACCTCCGAAACATCAGAGGTGGGATCAGGTGCCATGGAGGAGTGAGCATCCCCTGCCGACCGGTCACACCCGCCGTGTGCCCGTTGTCATGATCAGGAAATAAAAAAGAAATCCGTCGTCAATTCAGTGTATAAATAATGGACTAATGATTGGTATGAAAAACGTCAGTCAGCATCTGACTCAATGATAAATTGTATTTGCTGACAAGGTCATTGTATCGACCATAGAATTTACGAAATGATGACTTTAAACGAGACTGTTGATATTCTTGTTTCATCAACTTGCTTGTCAATAATTTACCTCGTTTAAGAAATTGTTCATACGTAGAGCATGCTCTTGCGTATCGAATCAACTGAGATATATATACTCCGTATGCAGGTGATGAAGGTATATTGCTGCATAAGTAAGGGAAGTTGGCGATAGAAAAGTTAAAGTCATCACGTTTATCATATAGCTTGGTTGTTAGATTACCATTAGTGTCTTTTTCAAGTAAAATATCCAAGTATGAAGCAGAAGTGTCGGACTCTGTGGTATCTTTTATCCCAAACTCACCAGGATATATCGTGTCGACGTAGGAATGGAAATTATCATTATTAATTGCAATACGTCGTCGATTTATCTAAATGTCGAGTTGAAGGCCACAGCAAGTGTTTTCTTTTTTCACGCATAAGATTTTGCATAAATTCTGCTTCATATGAATATAAAAATAAGTCTGCTAATAACGGAGCGCAATTTGTACCCATGGGAATTCCAATAGATTGTTGGAATACCTGGTCTCCAAAAACTACATAGATATTGTCAATCAGAAGCTCAAACATCTTCTTGATGTCAACTTCAGAGTACTTATGTGTGCAATCAGAATCTGTTTTAACAAAAAAAATTTTCAAATGACCAATGACGGGGTAAGTAAATTTACGAGTTCCATTTTTGTTGAAGAAGCAGCTGTCAATGATATCAAAAAGCCTAGATTTTAATTTTTCGTGGGGAATTGTTGTGTATAAAGTTGAAAAGTCGTACAAGAAATTAATCAAAACAGTTTTTTTTCAGTGTGTCATTCAGATATATCGACGACATTTTACATTAACGATAGTTATTTTCAATCATATATCAACACCATTTATCCAAATGAGCTTTATATAAAATATGCCACAGAGTTTGACACATCTGTTACATATTTGGATATTTTACTAGTTAGAGGACGAGCATTTGATTTGTGATTGTGGGGAAGAGGGGACGGCAGATTTTGGAAATAAATAATCTGTCCTCGTACATGTCGCACATTTGTCCTTGATTAGACAGGAATAAATAATCTGTCCATGACATCCCCCCACGAATTAAAGTATTCAAGTTAAATGTTTTAATTTTTTTTTTGCTAATCAGACTTTTTCAATGACGGAGGAAATAAATAATTTGTCCTTGATCTTACTGGAAATAAATAATCTGACCTTTACCGACATGAAAATCAATAATCTGACTCGAAAACTTTTGCCACCCCCCCCCCTTAAAGAAGCTAATAGTATTCTAAAATTAACGATTATTATGATAGCATTAACTATCAATCGTAAATATCCTTTACTTATGCAGTAATATACCTTATTACCGCAGATGGGGTTTTATCTTTCTAGATTCCATATGTGAGAACATGCTCTACGTATGAACAATTTCTCGACGAGGTAAATTTTTGACAAACAAGCTGGTGGAAAAAATATCAACAGTCTTGTTTAAAATCCTCATTTCGTAAGTTCTATGATCAATATAATGACCTTGTCAGCAAACATGACTTGTAAATAAGTCCATAATATGCTGATTGAGATTTTTCATACTAATTGTTAGGCCAAGACCTTCCCTCCTCCAAGGCACCCGATGC